TGATGAGAATCTGGATCTGTGGACAAGGATGTGGAGAGGCGGGATGGAGAGAGAAGGCATTGTTTGGAAGGGGAATCCCCTTCCATAAAATCAACTGGTAGCTGCTTTTCAGTTTTTTTCCTTTCTTTGCCTTTTTTCACTAGGACCTGGCTGGCTTGCTCTAAAAAAAAAATTTTTTTTTAAATCCGTCGAATGTGGTCTGCTGTTGGCATTTTGTTAACAACAGTTTTCTAAAAGGGTTTACTAAATTATCATCAACAATATTGATAATAGGATTAGCCAGTTCCTTATCATGATGGCTCCAGTAAAAAAAGAACTCTTTGGACCCATGATTTTTTTTTAATCTAAAAACAGTACAAAAAGCCACCAAAACTAAGAAAATTATAGCAAAATGCTTGGAACACAGCCACAAAAGGTTAAACAATGCGTACCAACAATGCCGAGTGACAGAAACATGAACTGCTTTTGTTTACAAAAATCAAGTGCATCATGTCAGATTCCGATGTTTTGTTTGAGCTCCGATGCAAAATGTTGTTGAAGTTCATGTCGAAATCCAGTGTTGTCGAGTACTGAGGCAGTCGAGTACCGGGGTTCTAGTTCAGACTTACGGACTTGATGTGGACTGGGCTGGGACGCTTTCTTAATATATAATTGCTCTTTATATAAAGCTCTTTCTTATACATATGTGAATGTCTATGAATTTGTTTTTCTAGTCAACCCAGACTAACACACTGTATCCTACAGAGATCCGAAGCTTAGCACCAAGCAACGCCCCCTAAAGCCAAACCCATTGTCACCAAGTCAATTCTAACTCATTGCAAGCCCCTGTGTCCTGGCTGCCATCTCAACACCAGCAGATGACCTGGTCTGTCTTTGGTAGCGCTGCAGGGTGCGTTCCAACTTTTAGGTTAGTAGTTATGTACAAACCATTTGATCTACCCAGGGACTCCCAGCCTCCTAGCACTGTAGTATTAAATTAAAAATGGCGTGGAGTGCGGTGAGTAGCCAGCCCCCACCGCTAATACTCTCTACTGTTCAGTAATGCACAATTGTACGGTTGAGATATATAAGCATTATATTAAAGTCATCGAGAGCATGAGAGATATTACAATAATACAGTCAGACACATTACATGATAGCATTGCTCACCTCAGCCCAGCTTGGTGGTCCATGTGGAGAGAGGAGGAAGGGAAGGGGGGGAAGAGAACAAGGGAGAGGGGAGTGACCAGGGAGTGAGCAGCAAGGAGCTCAGAGTCAGAGAGAGCGCTATATTGCTGACTCACACCTATATATCTTTGGGGGGCATGCCAGCCCACTAATTGCAGGTAGAGACATACGTCACAGGGAGGGGTTACACTATAGGTTACACAGCAATGACAGGGTGGTCTAGGGGGTGGTCTCTGGGTCTCCATAGGAACATTATCAGTAGGGTGAAAACTCCGCCTACAGGAGCCTGTCCATTGTCCCCAGAGGCAGGGAGCAGGCCCATCCCTGTGGTGGGATGAGACAGCAGTCTAGCAACTGATTGTCTTCAGTGGGGGAATGCCTGCTCATCTGACCTCCCCCCACATAGCACCAACCTGAAAGTCCTCATTTTAAATAGACCATACTCAGTCTTTTGACATTTTTATCCGAAACTGCAAAGATATAGAATATGCATTTCATCCCATTCGTGTCATTTGGAAGAAGATTTCATTTTTAATATTGTCACTGTCATTTTATAAATAGACATATAATGAGATTTCTGGGCTTTTCCATTGCTTTTTCAACAGCAGAACAATTCTTCTTAAGGCTATAATCTGCCGTTATCTGCTTAGGTTTCAAGCCTGGATTTTTTTTTTTTAAATAGTGAATCAGATCATGTGGTGCTAGTCACTCATACACGATCTTATGTTTTAAGCTGCTTTTGCTAGATCTAGAGATTTGGAGAGCTGAAGGCGCCCGAGAGATCGTAATCATCTAATTTTATAGAGGAGGGTAACAGAAGCTCTGAGAGGTTCCCCTGATTCTTTTGAGAATAAAAGCCGTGGATCGTGTGCGCTGTAACCCAGCAGCACAATGCATGCAGGCAGCTCCGCCCCACCTTTTCAGTTGTCTCCAGTCGACATCCTTTGCAACCTCCTCCCGCCCCCAAGCCCAGTGCAGAATCCTGGACTGGACACTGCCTTCAATTTTCAGAAAAACACTCCTTCATCATTGCTATGGTCAAGTTTCATGGGCCTGGAAAACCCAGAGGATTTGTTGGTGTCCTGGGACTTCTTTCACTTCCGGGATTTTACCTTCTCGTGTCTCTTGTACCTGACGTAGCATCATTGTTGTTGCGAGGTGCCCGGGAGAGGTTCTGAACTCAGAGGAGAACAGAACGCGTGTCAGTCCTGCGCTATCTTCACACTCCTTGCTAAGTTTCAGCCCATTCTTGTAGCCACTCTTGTCAAGCTATCTCGTTGAGAGTCCTCTTGTTCAGTAACCTTCTCCTTCCCAAGCGTGGAGCCCTTTGCCAGGAACCGCTCCCACCTGATAACGTATCCAGAGTACATGACCACGTCTCACCATCATTCCTTCTAAGGAGCCTCCAGGACCGATCGTCTGTCCTTCTGGAAGTCCATGGTATACTCAGTGCTCTTTGGCTGCACTATCATGAAAATGTATCAATTCTTCTTATGATGAGGACCAAATTCTACAGGTTGTGTTTACATATCTGTGGAAAACAGTACATCTCTTCTTTCCTGAGGCACAGTTTGGCCTATTTTAGCTTAGCTCTTTTTTTTCCCCTTTGGGAGCTTAACTAATCTTCTTCGCCAGTGTTTCTCCAACATGTTTTCCTCTCTTCTACTTTAGTGACCCCTGAAAAACTCAAGAAATGCTTATGAATATTTACTGAAGCACTTATTGATGACTGCCACCATAGAGTCAGTCACTAACAAAAGGTGACCCCAGGTACAAGAGAAGCCAATACGGCCTAGTCTTGTGCTATCCCCGTGGCCATGGTGCTATCAGACAGTGACCCGTGGGATTGTCTTTGACTGCCTTTTGATAGGACGTAGATAGCCAGGTCTCTTATTTATCCTAGAGCAGTGGTTCTCAACCTTCCTAATGCCGTGACCCTTTACTACAGTTCCTCGTGTTGTGGTGACTCCCCAACCAGAACATTATTCTCGTTGCTACTTCATCACTGTCATTTTGCTACTGAGATGAATTGGGCGACCCCTGCAAAAGGGTCGTTTGACCCCCAAAGGGGTCATGACCCACAGGTTGAGAACCACTGTCACAGACCATTCTAGAGCAGAAGCTGTTCCACATCATACTAAAACATGAAGTTCACCACTTACCAAGAAGAATGAGTGGCTGCCTAGGGGGTCCTCTTGCATGGAGCTGAGAAGTCTACCCTGAGCCACGGCTGCCCCTGACCGCCGGTTTGTGGTCAGTTGCTGTGAGTTGGCTTCCACTGAGGATCTCGCAGATGTTGGTTTCTGTCCAGTTGGTTCTGACCCCTAGTGACTCTTTGAACACCTCCTGTTCCGGCACCAGCCTCACTGTTGTTGTTATTGAGTCCGTTATTGCAGCCACTGTGTCAGTCCATTCCTTTGAGGGTGTTCCTCTCCGCACCCCTTCTACGGTACCCAACAGGATGTCCTGCTTCAGGGAGCGGTCGCTCCTGATGATGTGTGTTCTAAGCGTGCGAGACCAAGTCTTGCCCTCCTCGCTTCTAAGGGGCACGTTGGCTGCGCTCCCTTCCACACAGATGTGTGTGTTCTTCTGGCAGGCTGCGGGGTCTAGGACTAAACACTGACCAATCCTGCACAAGCGTCACCAGCGTTGGAATGCTGAAGTTCATTCTTGGGGCTTTTGTGTCAATCCATCTCAGGGTGAGTTCCCTCCCCTTCTCTGACCCTCTACTGTACCAAATATGGTATCAGTCCTCTATTGAAGGGTCTTTCACCCCCGATGACATGCCCAAGGTAAGCTTATCTTCAAACAAGACCTAACATTTAACATGGTGTAGAACCAGGCCTCTTACTGCTGTGTAATTTTGAGCCATTTTTTGAAGTTTTTAAACAATTTAATTAGTCAAAACCTCATTTTCCTCATCTGTAAATTGGGGATATTATCTCCTACAGCTTTGTTAGCAGCTAGAGCAGTGCTGGGCGACAGAAATATAGCACAAGTCTTACATCTCTTTAAGTGCCCACATACTTTGTGGCTATGTGCCGGGCTACGATCCACAACATCAGCAGTTCGAAACCACCGCTGCTCCCAGGGAGAAAGACTGAGGTTTTACTCACATAAAGAGGTACAGCCTCGGAAACTAAAGGGGTGTGCTGTTCTTTGGCGTCACTATAAATGAGCGTAGACTAGATGGCAGTGAGATTTTTTGTTTGTTTTTAAGTGAGCAGGAAATTTTTACCTTAGTGATTGATATATGTTAGTTACTTACCCCAAAATATCATGGTTTTTTTTAATATCATTTCAATATCATCCGGATATTGATTATTGGGGTACTCTTATATTCTTGTTTTCATATTGGCTCTGAAATGTAGTGTCTTTTACACGAACCCAAACCCACTCCCATGGAATAGATGCTGACCCATAGTCCCCCCTGTACAGGGAGGGTTTCTGAGACATAAATCTTTATGGCGGCAAACAGTCTCATTTCTCTCCAGAGGAAGGCTGGTGGATTTGAACCACTGATCTGGCGGATAGCAGCCCACACACTCACTGAACTCACTCCCTGCCTTCGAGTGGATTCCAGCTCTTAGCGACCCCATCGCCCCTCTCAGCTCCAAGGAGCCACAGTCCAAACAGCAGCAACCTGCGGCTGCGCAGCGGCCGGCCAGCCGAGCAGACACGCCCCGTAGACGGAGGTGGGCGGTCCCCCGCTGGGTGGGCGGGGCTGCGCCGCGAAAGCCTTTTGGGCTTTGCCGGCTGCCGTAGCAAAGCGCGCCCGCGGCGCCGGCGGCGGGGGCGGTGGCGCCACGTTCTTTGCGGCCGCGGGCGTGGAAGCTGCTGGGTCTTGGGGCGGCTGCGGGTGGCCATGGCCTTCACGCTGTACTCGCTGCTGCAGGCGGCCCTGCTCTGCGTCAACGCCATCGCCGTGCTGCACGAGGAGCGCTTCCTCAAGAACAGTGAGTGGACCGGGGCGCGGGCCCGAGCCGGCACGGGGCGAGCGGGGACCCCCGGGCCGGGGGCACAGGGCGGCGGAGGGGCTCGGCCCCCGGGAGGGGGGGCCTCCCTCAGCAGGACTGATTGAGCCCAAGGGCGCGTGCCGAGCGTTCAGACGCTGTGCTCCGGCGAGCGGGCGGGGGGTCTCGGAGGGGAGCAGGACGCCCCGCAGCCGGCCTGGGTCTGCATTCCAGCCCAGCGCCCCGTGGCCGCTTTTCCGAATGGGATTCGCGGTGGAGTGTGCGGCGCGGGGCGTGGCTCATTGGGGAAGCTCAGTAGTTAGAAGAATGGGCTGGAGGAAGGGCAGTGAGGGTCCCCGGGAAAAGTGCGGGCGGCTTCTGGACCTCCTGCCACCCGTGCTCCGAGAAAGTCCTGCAGCACACACTTAGGGGTGCCTCCCGCCACCCAGACTGTGCTGGCTCACCCAGTCACCCCGAGTCCACTTCCACTCGTGCCACCCCATAGGGCAGGGTAGAACTGCCCCTGTGGCTTTCTGAGAAGAGAGCCTGTTCTTTGGGGTTGGCGGGTGCGAACTGCTGACTTTGTGGTTAGCAGACCAGCACGGAACCACTGTGCCGCCAAGGTTCCCCAGAACTTCCGAAAGAGTAGATTGGTTTTTATTCAGGAGATATTTATGGAGCACAATTATACACGAGGCCCACGTAATAGTCACTGAAGTTCACCGGTTGGTTTCCCTGCCCTTTTTAGCTCCGTTTTAATGGGAGTTCTTCGAAACAAGAACTAAGCAAGTAGTGGTTAGCGGCGTGCGAGGTTATGAAAGAGAAACAGATACTAAGCTCCTGTGAAATCTTGGAAGAAGGCTGTTGAACTTGAAATCGGATAACCGAGGACAGTAGGTGAAGGTGAAGGCTTGAGAGGGTGAAGAGAGCTTGAAGCCATGTCCTCCCTCTCATGGAGTCGGTTTGAATTCGTGGTAGTGACCCTGTATTGGGTTTCCGAGGCTTTAAATCATGACTGGTGCAGACAGCCTCATCGTCCTCCTGTAAAGAGACTGGTGGGTGTGAACTGCAGTCCTTGGCACTTCGAAGTTCAGGGCTTCCCTGAGGGCGTCATCAGGACTCCTTAAACTGTGTCGAGTTGATGTGAAATTCTGGCACAATTGAAAACAGGCTTTAAGCAGGCCAGAGAAGAGATTCGTTTTATGTTATTTGGAAGATCCTCTGGCTACAAGATGGGAAACAGGAGTTTGGGAGAGGACTACAGGTACCTGTCACTTAATGTCCATGATTCATTCTGTGAAATAGGACATTCTGTGATTTGTGATGTTGTGTGAACACCTGTGTCCTTGTAACCGTGGTAGTTCCCACTGGGGATGATTCAGGGAAGCAGTAGGCTAGCTCCTACCAAGCTGTTGCCACCTTCTCTGCTAAACTAGATACAGGGAAAGCCAGCTTGTCTCAGAAAACAGCCTGGGCAAGGGTCAGTACAAGTGAAGGGGGCCAACAAGGCCAGAGCCCGGGCTGGGATGTATACTCTTCATTAGGGCCCTACAGCACCGTGTTGGACAAAACACGGAGCATAGACTCATCAAGTCATGGGCTCTGATGGGGAGCGGGGTTGGGAGTTTAGGCCTGAATCCCCATCACTGCAGAATAGGCTGCGTGTCTAGGCCGCTGGACAGAAGTGGAGCTCTGGCCTCAGACACCCGGGAACCCAAGCCCACAGACATATATGCTGTTGGACATTGCCCATACGATCATAAGCAACACAGATCTGTGACATAGTGGGTTACACATAGGTCACAGTTCGAAACTGCTGGCTGCTCTGTAGGAGAAAGGTGAGGCTTTCTTTCTACTTCCCTTAATATTTACAGTCTTAGAAACACACAGGGGCAGTTCTACACGGCCCTATAAAGTTATGTGTCGGAATGGGCTAGATGGCGGCAAGTTTGGATTTTTCTTGGATCTGCACTCCAAATAGAGCCTATGTGGCATTGTGGTTTGCGTTGGGCTGCAAACCACAAGGTCTGCAGTTCAAAACCACCAGCCACTCCATGAGAGAAAGATGAGGTTTTCTGCTCCCATAAAGAGTCACAGAACCCCAGGAGCGTTCTACTCCGTCCTATGGGATCGCTGTGGGTCAGCTTGACTCCCTAGCGGGGAGTTAGGTTTGGTTTTGATAATCCAAATAGTCCAAGGAGAGATGTTGGGGCAGTGAAGTGGGGAAGATACAAGAGAGCTGCAAAACATTTGTGGGAAAATTCCATGTTTTAATTCCATTCCTCTTGAGCTTTTTGAACGTCCCCTCATCATAACAAACACTTTTGTGGCACTTAATATGTAACAGGATCTATAGCAAGTGTTTTACATGTATTGACTTGTATAAACTGCACAAACTTCACAACAATTCTATGAGACGGTGCTATTTTCATCACCACTTTGTAGACAGGGAACCTGGGCACAGAGAGAGTAAATAACCTTCTTTAGACTACACCGCTGCAAAGTGTGGAATTAGAATTCAAACATAAGTTCTCTGGTTCCACAGTCTGTATTGTCACCAGAAAAGTTGCAAAGATCACAAAATGTTTTAGACAGTACATTTTAAAACTATATTCAAAGATAAAACCAAATTCCCTGCCTTCAAGTTGATGCACACTTATAGTGGCCCTATAACACTTGGTAGAACTACCTTGCTGAGTTTCTGAGACAGTAACTCTTTACGGAGTAGAAAGCCCAATCATTCTCTTGAGGAGAGCCATTGGTTTCAAACTGCTGACCTTGCAGCTAGCAGCCGAACGAGTAACTTCTGCACCACCAGGGCTCCCTCCTTATGCAAAGATAGAAATAGGTTAAAAATAAAAGAATGAAAAATGATGTAGCATGGAAATAATAACCATAGGAGAGTGAAGTGGCTCTTCCAATATCATACAAAATAGATATTAACTAGATATAGAGACATTATATTAATAAACAAGCCAATTTATCAGGAATTAATTATAAACATATATACCTAACCATAAAGCTCCAAACTAGAACTGGAGGGAGACGTAGATGTCTGTAATCATAGTTGGAGACTTCACTCCCTCACTTCCCATGAAGATTGAACAACTAGTCAGACAAAGAAATCAAAGACTTCAGTAACACTAGAAACCCCTAGCTTATCACTGTCTGTGGACCACTGCACCGAGCAGCAACAGAATACGTGGTCTTCTCCAGCTCTTACAGAGCATCCTGAGGATAGACCTTAGCAGAAGCTTTGGTAAAGGTAAAATGATTGGAGTCAGAGTATATTCTCTGGCCAGAATGGAGTAAAATAAGAAATAACAAAAGGAAATTTGTTAAATTCACTAATATATGGCCATTAACTAATACACCCTTAAATAACCAGTGGATCAAAGAAGCAATCACAAAAAGAACAAAAAAATACTTTGAGATGATTGAAAACAAAAACATAGCAGAACTTATGGAAGACAAATAATGCAGCTCTTACAGGGATTTCATAGCTGTTAATGCCCGTATCAAAGCAGAAGGAAGATATCACACCAGCAACCTAATCTGGATTGAGACGTGCAAATTAGATGTAAAGTAAGCAGAAGGGCGGAAATAAAGATTACAGTGAAAATTAATGAAGGGGGGGTGTTGTTTTTTTGAAAATATCAACAGCCGTTGACAAATCTTTCACTTGATTGACCCAAAAGATCAGACTTAAATGACTAAAGTTAGAAGTGAGGGAGGGGTCACAGCTGAAGTTCCACAAATGAAGAGACCACTTCTCAACTCCCCTTTGAAGCTGGTGCCACGCTGTCAAAAACCAGACAAAGGCCACACCCACAGAGTGGAGTAGACTCTTGACTCAGTTTCTGAGGGTATAAATCCGTATGGGAACAGGTGACCTCATCTTTCTCCCAAGGAGCAGCAGGTGGGTTTGTACCACTGACTTTGGGCTCAGCAGTCCAATTCGCACCAACAGTGCTCCCCCAAACCAGAAAACTGTCGGGGTTCTTTGTAAAAAACAACTGGAGACCAATATCTCTTAGGAATAGAAACACAAACATTCTCAACAAAATGCTAGCAAACAAAATCTGGCAACAAATTGCAAATTGTCTACGTCAGGAGCAAGTGGAATCTGCCAGGAATGCAAGGTTAGTTTCACATCCACGAATCAGTTCGTGTTTATAACATACTGATGGAAGAGAGAATCCACATGGGCATCTCAGTAAGTACAGAAATCATTTGGCAAAATCCAACGTGCTTCCGTGATAAACACACTTACTTTCATACTGATGAAAGACAAGGCTTCTTCCCTAGATCAAGAATCACGCAAGAGTGTCCTCTCATGTCAGTATTGTACTGAAGGTTCTAATCAAGGCATTTAGACAAGAAGAAAAGGCATCTAGATTGTGAAGGAAAAGGAGATATTTGTTTCTAGATCTAGATGATTTTGTACATAGAACATCCTAAGGAATCTATTAAAAGACTATTAGAACTAAAGATGAGTTTAGTAAGGTAGGACACACGATCAATATGCAAAAACCAATTGTAAGTGATTTTTAAAAAACCAATTGTGTACACTAGCAATAAATAATTTGAGAACTAAATTAAGAAAATTTCACATACGATATCTTTAACAAGAAGTGTGTCTTGTACTATGAAAAGTGTGGAGCATTGTTGAAAGAACTTGAGTGGAAAGACATCCTGTTGTCATGAATTACAAGAGTTCATATTGTTAAGATAGCGACTCCTCTTAGCAGCCTCATGGACAACACCGTGAAACGCTCGTTAGCCGTTCCTGGTCCATCCTCAGTCAGTGCTATCTGTAAGCCCGTTGTCACAGCCTCTGTTTCAACCCTTCTTTCCTCTTTGTTGACCCCTCTACTTAGCAAGCACATCCTTCTCCCAGAACTGGGCCCAACTTATAGGATATCCAAAGTATGTGAGAAGTCTCAGCCTCCTCCCTTCCCAGGAGCATTCTGCTGTCCTTCTTCCAAGACAGATTTGTTCCT